GCGAGGTAAAGAGAAAGAGAGCGCGAGAAAAACAGAGAGAACGTTAAAAGCCCATGTGTGTAAGTGACGACGTGTTTGCGCGCATACGGGTGCAGTGCTCTTCTTGACAGTGTAGAATCAACAAGTGTCGCGTAGAGATCGTCATTGTCGCGCGGTGTGCGCGCGCGATTCTAACCTCATCGTTGCGATCGGCTCGAGGTTTCGTTCGATTCAATTTTGTCCGTTGGCGAACAGTTGTCGTTTTTTTAGTGTTCCCGTCTCGTTCGTGTAATCTTTGTCGACTGCGTGGCCAATCGTAATCGATGTGATATTCCGTGCTTTCCTTTAACGTGCCCTTGGATATTGTTACGTCGCCGATCCGGTGGCTGCGTCTCTGCAACGTCTCAAGATGGAAGTCGTTTACATAGGTACGTCAGCCTGCGATTATGTCTTTATTGCACGCGGAATTGTTCGATCGTTGATACTTTTACTTCTCGATCGTCACTTGCGTCATGACACTTGGCATCTTGATTTACTTTTACCTCGCAATCGTTTCTTATATCTCGAGGCTTGATATCTTGATATTGGCTAGAGGTATACGTTAAGCATCGAGTGTTTTATCTGGATGTAGGCGAGCCGGCATTCGTTTTTCCTCCTTTCCTTTTCAATTTAGTCAGAATCGAACTGAGTGTGTGTCGAGGATTGTACGAACAACATTTTAAAATTGATTACACGAGCAAACTATCTGGACGAATTTTATTATTCGTCGTAGATAACAATTTCAACGATATAAAAGCAATTGGAGCGTGTAATAAAACACCGCTCGAACTGCGATATTTCCCATCTATTCTCTGGGTGCAAGTCGAAAACGTATTTAGCGCCAACTATGTTATTTTATTGGCCACCTGTATATTTTTCTACTCTCACCATCAGTAGGCAATGAGGTTATCTGTGTTCTAAGGTATGCTTTATCTAATCTTCGAAATATTTATTCATCGTGTACGCGAAACGCATGTATACGTCAAGAAAGAGGTATGGTACACGTGCACGTCAAGAATGATAACTGGGCTGCGTAAGTGGCGTCATTTAGATTAGAACGCGTGCTTCGTGTGGAAGGTTCGGCGAACGTACTATTA